AGGCCGAAGATGTGGGAAACTATTACTGTCAGCAGCTTTATAGCTCTCCACCCACAGTGCTTCAGCCTCGAACACAAACCTGCTCCCCGGGGCTGAGGGTCAGGGAGGCTTTGCTGTACCAGCTGCTTCCTCTTCGCTCAGCCATGAACATGTGTGTTCCCCTATCTGCCTGAGAAGTCACTTCTCCTGATTTACTCCTTGAAGGGCTTGTAAGGCACAGCAGACAATGAAGGGGTCAGACTTTTCCTGCATCCCCCATCCCTTTTTTAAAAAAGATTTTATTTATTCACTTGCCAGAGAGAGAGAGAGAGAGCACAGCGGGGGTAGCAGGAGGCAGAGGGAGAAGCAGGCTCCCTTCTGAGCAGGGAGACCAATGCGGGACTCCATCCCAGGATGTTGGGATCATGACCTGAGCTGAAGGCAGCCACTTAACTGACTGAGCCACCCAAGCATCCCACCTGCATCCTTATTGTAGGAGGTTAATGAAGACAAATTCTGTGAAGATGTCTTAGGGATGCTCTTGGGAGTTTTTGTGCCCCAGGAAGCTGCGTGATTCCCAGGGTCCCATGACAGGAGTGAGCCAGGAAGGTCTGTCTTTAGCCTATGACAAAGGGCTGTGAACTTTACACCCTGCGGGTCAGTTCTCCCTTCCTGCTCCTCTTGGACTCTGGGACATTTCTCTTTTATTTCCTTATTCTCTTTTCTTCACCCTCCATCACCCTGCCACTCTGAACCTTCCTAGGATGAAACCTTTGAGCTCTCCTATTCAGAATCTCCCACGTGGAAGGTAGTGTCCCTCTCGCTTTTTCCTTCCACGGGCCCTGTTTCCCAGCCTTCCTGGGCAGTGTCCTGCACATTCATTTCTGCTCCAGCTCCTTTCCTTCCACCCTTCTCTCTACTCTCCATTTCTCTGAGGCATACTCATTCTCACAAAGGCAATTCTCTCATTTTTTAAAAAGATTTTATCTATCTATTTATTGCTGGGGGTAGTGGCCGAGGGAGATGGCGAGACTCTCAGGCAGACACCCTGTTGAGTGGGGACCTATGGGTGGGAACTCTTAACTGTCTCACCATCAGTGGCCTGGAGGCCAAAGGTGCAGCCCACTACTGTTGCCAGCAGGGGGCAGCCACCCACCTACAGTGTTAGAGACAGCTTCAAAAATTCCAGCTGTGGCCCCAGCTGTGCTCCCTTGGATACCCTGAAGGTCATGGTCTCTGCTTCTGAGTCTGGGAGACCTCATCATTGCCCTCTGTGGTACCTGGGCTTGGCTGACTCTTGAAGACACTTGGCTTTCAGAGGGGAGAGGAGAACAGGGTCTGGAGAATGAGTTGGTTCTCAGTGGGCTCCATTTTGGCAGCAGCCTGGGTCGTGAAGGGAAAGGTGCACATGTGATGCCATTCTTTCAGAACATTACTCTTGTTTTTGTTTTTGTTTGTTTGTTTAATATTTTTATTTATTTATCTGTCAGAGATAAAAAAAAAAAGTTCTCGGACCCACAGGGCTGAGCAAATAGAGACAAATAACTATTTGCAGAAATAATATTTGTGTGTTAGAACTGGCAAAGTAATACTGGCAATAAACTTGCAAATATTACAATAAGCTTGCGATAAGCTTACAAACAGATGAACTTGCAAGAATAGTATTTGTGTATTATAATTTTAAATAATACAATAAATATATATAATAGATGGTAAGACTTTATTAATTTGATATTTTGACTGAATATAAGATTTTTCTGGATTGCTTTTTGGCAATTTCATTTCTTATGGCATCAAAATTTGTACTTTTAGCAAACTCAATTTCCATATGTATTTGAAAATAACACTGTCTTTTGGCAAATACAAGATCTTCAATATTTTTCTATAATTTTTAATTTTGAAAACGTTTTTTCTGATGGAAAAGAAAAAAAAAACCTTGAATTGTTTGGAATATTTTATAGTCTGTGACAACATTATAATGCCTTTCTGATTAAGTAATTAAACTATAAATTTTAAAGTATCTAAACATGATGGACCATTTCTAAAAAAAATGACTTAACTCTTCGCAAAAGTAGTTTTGTGTAAATCTGATTTAATGTTAGATACAAATGTATATAATGATATCTTTTTTAAAATTTTATTTAACTTCTTTTCAGTGTAACAGAACTCATTGTTTATGCACGACACTCAGTGCTCCATGCAATACATGCCCTCCATAATACCCACCACCTGGCTCCCCCAAACTCCCACCCCCTGCCCCTTCAAAACCCTCAGATTGTTTTTCAGAGTCCATAGTCTTTCATGGTTCATCTCCCCCTCCAATTTCCCTCAACACCCTTCTCCTCTCCATCTCCCATGTCCTCCCTGTTATTTCTTATGCTCCACAAAAAAGTGAAACCATATGATAATTGACTCTCTCTGCTTGACTTCAGCATAATCTCTTCCAGTCCTGTCCATGTTGCTACAAAAGTTGGGTATTCATCCTTTCTGATGGAGGCATAATACTCCATAGTGTATATGGACCACAACTTCCTTATGCATTTGTCCGTTGAAGGGCATTTTGGTTCCTTCTACAGTTTGGCGACCGTGGCCATTGCTGCTATGAACATTGAGGTACAGATGGCCCTTCTTCTCACTACATCTGTATCTTTGGGGTAAATACCCAGTAGTGCAATTGCAGGGTCATAGGGAAGCTCTATTTTTAATTTCTTAAGGAATCTCCACACTGTTCTCCAAAGAGGCTGCACCAACTTGCATTCCCACCAACAGTGTAAGAGGGTTCCCCTTTCTCCACATCCTCTCTAACACGTGTTGTTTCCTGTCTTGCTAATTTTTGCCATTCTAACTGGTGTTAGGCTGTATCTCAATGTGGTTTTAATTTGAATTTCCCTGATGGCTAGTGACGATGAACATTTTTTCATGTGTCTAGTAGCCATTTGTATGTCTTCATTGGGGAAGTGTCTGTTCATGTCTTCTGCCCATTTTTTTGACATGATTATCTGTTTTGTGTGTGTTGAGTTTGAGAAGTTCTTTATAGATCCTGGATATCAGCCTTTTGTCTGCACTGTCATTTGCAAATATCTTCTCCCATTCCGTAGGTTGCCTCTTTGTTTTGTTGACTGTTTCCTTTGCTGTGCAGAAGCTTTTGATCTTGATGAAGTCCCAAAAGTTCATTTTTGCTTTTGTTTCCTTTGCCTTTGGAGACATATCTTGAAAGAAGTTGCTGTGACTGATATCAAAGAGGTTACTGCCTATGTTCTCCTCTAGGATTCTGATGGATTCTTGTCTCACGTTGAGGTCTTTTATCCATTTCAAGTTTATCTTTGTGTACTTTGTAAGAGAATGGTCAAGTTTCATTCTTCTACATATAGCTGTCCAATTTTCCCAGCACCATTTATTAAAGAGACTGTCTTTTTTCCACTGTATATTTTTTCCTGCTTCGTCGAAGGTTATTTGACCATAGAGTTGAGGGTCCATATCTTCGCAAATGAATCAATGTGATAGAACAAACCAATAAGAGAAGAGAGAAGAACCACATGGTCCTCTCAATTGATGCAGAAAAAGCATTTGAAAAAATCCAGCATCCGTTCCTGATTAAAACGCTTCAAAGTATAGGGATAGAGGGAACATTCCTGGACTTCATAAAATCTATACAATGATATCTTAATATTTCTTCTGACATTTCTCACAGTATGTAGATAAAAAACACAAAACTGACAGTAGCTCCATAATTTCATACACTTCAAAACACCTGTTTATTACATTCTACCTGTCCCTTCAATTACAACTAATCTTAAAATTGTCTTATTAAAGATTGTTTAGTACAAAGCTTCATATAAAATAGTGCTCTTCATCAAATGTGACAATATTTAAATTTAACATTTACTGCTAGGACTGTGGCTACTTAGCTTACATAGCTGTAGCAGTTTTCAAAACCGAGATCCTAAATTCCCTGAAGAATTCTCCTAATTCTTTTTTGACACATCGGTATGCTATGCTCTGCTCATTTCAAGTGTAGCTACCGTCTCTCTCCACACAACACTGTAGCAATCTCATAGACTATATTCCCTTGCTTGTACTTTTCATCCCTGTGACTTACTCATTCCATAACTGGAAACCCATTCTTCCCAATCTCCTTCATACATTCTTCCCCTCCTGCCTGTTCCCTTCCCCTCAGGCAACCACAAGTTTGGTCTCTGTATTCATGGGTCTTTATGCTTTTTTGTTTGTTTGTTTGTTTGTTTTGCTTTCTGTATTAGATTCCATATATAAATGAAATCATATGATGTTTGCCTTTCTCTGGACTTACTTCACCTCACATAATACCCTACTGGTCCGTCCATGTTGTCCCAAATGGCTAGATTTCATTCTTTTTATGGCTGAGTAAAATTTAATTGTATATATGGACATCATCTTTACAGGATTAGGAGCTTATATGTACTATGGGTTTACAAGTCTGTTTGGGAGCTTGAAGAAAAAGGTATACTAATGGTTCTCAGCCATATTTCCTGTGGGATTAGTGTGTATAGAATGTTATCTAAAGAATATAGCACAAAAACAGTGTAACGGGGAAAGAAGAAATTCAGAGAGTGGGAAAATAAGCAATAATAAATTTTGAATGATATCAAATGTTATCCTACTGAAAATATCACAGAATTTCTTAGCTCAAAGATGGAGCACTGGGTGTGGTGCAAAAAACAATGAATACTGTTACGCTGAAAATAAATTAAAAAAAATTTTAAAAATGTATGTAATTGTGTTGCCACAAATATGACTCCGGTTTCTGACCCTCAGGCTGAGTAATTGTCCCTGACCCATGCACACAAACCAGGAGGGTCAGGGTAAGGTTTCCGGTGGCTGTCGCTCGCAGCTCACCGCTCAGTGGACGGGCTGATCATGTCCCTTCTGGAGCTGGTTGTGCCCCACTGAGGCAGTTTTCTCCCAGGGGTCCGGACTCAGTGCAGAGCACTCAGCTGCACGTTACTGCCCTGAGTTCCCCAGCACCTGCATCTGATGCCAGCTCAGAGCCTCTGCTGGGCTCCCAGCTCAGGCAACACACATGCCCAGTGGGGACCGCCAAACTGAGAGGTTTGTGTTTGGGCCTGAACCACTGTGAGAGGATACTGTATACTTTGCTGACAGTAATAAACTCCCACATCGTCAGCTCCCACCCTGCTGATTGTCAGGGTGAAATCTGTCCCTGACCCGCTGCCACTGAACCTGTCTGGGACCCCAGTGAAATGGTTGGAAACCTTATAGATGAGGAGCTGTGGGGACTGGCCTGGCTTCTGCCGGAACCAATGCAAATAGGTGTTTCCATTATCGTGTACAAGGCTCTGACTGTCCCTGCAGGAGATGGAGGCCAGCTCTCCGGGGGTGACGGACAGGGACAATGGGGTCTGTGTCAGCACGATAACCCCGCTGGATCCTAAAATATTGAGAGATAAGTATAGGTTGTGGAGAAACTTTATAAGCCCTTTTTATGATTTTAAATTTCATTGATGATAGGCTAAATAACATTCTGTGAGTTGATTCCTACTCTAAATATTTCCAATCTCCATGGATAACCCAATATTTGCTGGACACAGAGTGACCTCATTTTTTTTTTTCAGTTTCTCACTAAAGCACAGTTCTTCATTCCCTTTAGTTTCCTCATAATTTTCACTGATCTCAAAACCAAATTCCCCTATTGGAGGTCAACCTCACTCCTGGACAGAGCACACATAGGGACTAACAGCACCCAGACAGCTCACCCTCCCCACTACAATCTCCTTCCTCATCTTCCTTCTGCTCTTACCTGGGACCCAGAGCATCAGCAGCCCCAGGAGCTGAGAAGGGAACCTCATTTTGAGAAGCTGACCTGATGAGTCCTAGTAAGTAAACACAAGCTCAGAACTGACCTTTATATCAGACTTCCAAGGCAAGGTCCTCCCCAGGGGACAATATGCAAATCCCTTGGTGGGTGTGGCAGAGTGGAAAGGGCCAAAGGCAGGGTGCAGGTCCCTCTTCTGGGAGTGCAGTAACTTAAAATGTCTTCTGTGTTTGGAGGGAAACTAACAGAGACAAATTCCTTACTGCATGCATGGGAAGCAGGATCTCCCTGTGATAATCAGGATCTGTGGCAGGACACAGTGCTCCTAGGCCTACCTTCTGAGAAAGCTCCAGAGACCCTGAAGATACAGGCACACGTTTCCAGAGTCCATTTTTGGCAGGTGAAAGGCCATCCTGCCTGGATTCCTGTCAGCTAATGTCCAGGAGGAAACAGGTCCCACTCCCTCTCCAGCTGATTGTCCAGCGATTTCCAGATCCCAGGATGAACTAAAGTCTCTGGGATCTGCTGTTTCCAGGTTAATGGTTTTAGACAATTTAATAATGATTTAAAATGAATTAAACTCATGCTAGAACCTTGTGAATTATTCTACTCTTTGGAAAGATGAAAGTGAGAGGAACTTGGCAAATAGAAAAGAATCTCTTACACAAAGAGAACTCATAATCCTGGAGAAGAGAATAGGAGAGAAGACAGAATTGTATGCTTCAGACAGTGAGTACGATGTGTGTGGCAACTGATTGTTACAATGTGGTGTGTATCCTGTCATACATCTGTCTCTCTCCCCAGAGAGACTGTTAGATGGATAGGTGGATAGTAGGCAAGACAGACTGATGATAGACACATACATACCATATAGTGCATATTAGATAAGGTACACACTCACACACACACCATATCAAACAAAGAGATTTCTCAAGTCAACATTGTCTAAGAGGATGGACAGAGTGAATAATGTTTCCCATTTTCCAGAAAACAATGTTTTCCCTTCCCACACAGAGGCTTCCTCATCATGAGTAACCAATTTCTGTTAGGGGGACTGGTTCCTTGTTAGCTCTATGTGAGAAGCTGTGTCTTTCACTTGGCTTTTATGTTCAGCATCCATATATCTGAGTCTATAGTTGAAAATGAGATTCTGTAGGTGAGAATAGCAAGGACTGGGATAAAACTTTTAATAATTTGGTGTCACCTGTACCTATGACGGACAATTTCAGAGGTCTTCGGTGAACCACAGTCACCATGGAAGGGGGTGTGGGATCAGAGCTGCTTGGGGCATCAGTTTACCAACCATCCTGCATTAAAGTAGGGACATAACCTGATGCTTTTGCATGTGTCAGCCTGATGTAGGTGTTAGTTGTTGGTGAGAATTATGTCAACCTCAAATTACCTCACAACTCAAGTCACTGTCAGGCAATCAAAACCCTGGAGAAACTGAATGAATAGAGTTTGTAGTTCTGTTAGATCTTAGGTAATTTAAATCAGATCACACATAATTTTTAAAAAAACCTGAATATATGCAATTTTAGGCATGATTCACAAAATGCTTGATCTGAATATCTTTTGCAGGTGGCGGTCCCTGACCAGCTGTGGGGAGGACACCAAGCACTTTCATGATGGAGTTTCCTTAGGGCCACAGTCTCCTGGCTCTGAGTCTGCTCTCAGTGGTTTCATGTCCACACTTCATCTTCCACAGCAGCTGCCCATGGCTCTACAGGGCAGTGTGGAGGCCCCACCTGAGAAGGACTAGCCCATCAGGAGTCTCATCATCTAATGGGAGTGAAGGGTGCAGAGAAGGAGCCCCTGCCCTTGACCAGTGGTGGGTCGGGGTTCCCATGAATGAGTTCTCAGGTGTGATACATTTTCCAGAGCAGCTCACAGAACTCAGAGAATCACCTACTTGTGTTTACTAGTTTACTAAGGGATATGAGAAAGGATCAGATGAAGAGCTAGATGGAGAGAGTCACAGGGCCAAGACTGGGAAGATCAATGGTTTCTGTCCCTATGGCGTTGGGCTGTGTCACCCCCCAGCTGGATGTGCTCACCAATATGGGAGCTGTCTGAATCCTGCTCTGTGGGGTTATAATGGAGTCTTCCTCACATAGACATGATCAATTATTAACTCCGGTTTAGACCCTCTTCTTTCTCTAGAGGATGAGTGATGTGGCTGCAAGCTCCAACCTTGTAATCACAGCTTGGTCTTTCTGGTGCCCAGTGTCCACTCAGGAGCCCACTCAGGGTCCTCATCACAGAATGAAAGAAGCTCCTAGTGCTTTTATGTCCTAGGAGATGACAAGGTTTTTGGGAGCCGTGGGCCAGGAACTTTGGACAGAGACGAATATATATATTTTCTATTATCTCTCAGGCATAAATCAGGAATTCTGGGAACCAGCATCCTTATACAGGCTGGAGGGCCTGGTGTTCCTGCTGGAAGGGAGCCCGTCCTCTACCACAGACTCTAGGGCTCCAAGCAGTGCCTGGTTTTTTTTTTTTTTAATTAATTAATTAATTAGTTTGTTTCTTTGATCTTAAGAATTTATTTATTTGAGAGAAGGATAGAGGGTGGGTGAGCATGAGTGTGCACATGAAGGGGAAGGGGCAGAAGGAGAGACAGAGATGTAGACTCTGACTGAGCAGGAAGCCTGAACCCAGGACCCAAGATCATGTCCTCAGCCAAAGGCAGAGGCTTAGCCAACTGAGCCACCAGGCACTACCCTCCACAAAATGTGCATTTTGTAAAGGACACTCAGCTGAGTGGAAGAGGGAGCTGTTAGGGAAGTTTTTAGAGAAGAGAACTGGACTTTGGCATCTGTAGCCATCCTTCCTTTCTGACTGCCTAGGAGGAACAAGGCTGTCCTAGGCCCCTTCCTCACTCTGAGGACTCTGTGGTAGTATTAACATATTTGCCTACTTAAGAAAAATAAAACAGGGAATATGACCATTATATCTAAATTAAAGAATATTAAGTGAACTCTATAGGTTCTTCTGGAAAATGAGTGAGTTCTGCTTGGAAGCGAACCGAGCTATGTCCCCTTTTCTCTCAAAATAAACTTCTGCTTATAAAGTTCAATTAAGATAAAAAATGATCAAACTCACTTGTATGTTGTCTTCTGGGAGAAAGTAGAGAAACTTTACATGAAGGTTTTAATTTTATAGGAATCAAGTGCAAAGTGGAATCGTTTAGATTTTTTCTCTTGAACTACAATTCTCATTGCTTTACTGAATGACCCCTGGTAAGGCACTTTCTGAACACTGGAGATCTTTTTCCCTTGAGAAATGGTGAGAAGGAATTTGCTAGTTTCTAGGATCCCTTTGAGGCCCCAATGGGAAAACATGAATTTCCATGGACAGCAACTTTATGTAACTGAAGTACTGTAGTTAGGTACTGTATCCCGATCCCCAAATTCCCCTCCATTTTCTCTTTTCTATGGTTGAGATTTATGTCCTTCTTACCCACTCATACCCTAAGACCACAGAATATCTTGTCGCATTGCTTTGATAACTATAATTTTTGTACAGTTGACCTACCTTAAAGGACAAGGAGAAGTTATTATGAGCATCAAGCCCCTCCTTGTGTTGAGACAAGAACACTGGGGTCAGCCTTGAGAGACCAAGGTGCTGTGTATGGTGTAGGAATGTGCCTGGTGCTGCTGAGCCTCCTTCCCTGGGCTTACTCTCTGGTCATTATAAGGTTCGAGTGTGGGGTCTCAAGACTGTGAGTTTTGGTTCCGTTTTCTGGTGCCTGAATAACTCTATAATTGATGAGATTGGAAGTTACTGCTTTCAGGACCCTTTCCTTGACCAGAAGAAATGGGAATGAGAACCAGACATACTTTCCTGGATCTGATCTTCCTACCCTGTACTCCTATCTCAATATATTCTGCTATGTATTTTCTTGCATAGGGTTAAAGATTTGGGGTTTTATGTTTAAAAGTGGAACCTATTTGAACAATGGTTTTTATGTCTGTTGTAAGAAAAAGGATATCCTTTTTTCCATAGAGAACATCGTACATGAGCAGTTAGTGTAACTGGGAAAGAAGAAGGTGAGAGAGTGGAAATAGAAAACATATAATTTCTGTATGATACTAAATATTGTCCTATTAAAAATATAGCAAAATCTGTTAGCTCCAAAATGTATGGAACTTGTAGTTGTCCCATAAGTGGCTCAGGTTTCTGACGCTCAGGCCGAGTCAGTTCCTGACCCCTACACACATGCCAGGAGAGTCAGGGTGAGGTTCAGGGCAGTTGTCTCTGGCAGCTCACCGATCATCCCACAAGGTGATCATATCACTTATGGAGCTGGTTGTGCCCCACTGAGTCTGTTTGCACCCAGGGGCCAGGCCTTGGTCCAGAGCACTCAGCTGTGCATTATTGCCCTGAGTTCCCAAGCACCTGCCTCTGATGCCAGCTCAGAGCTTCTACTATGCCCGCTCCCTGCTCAGGCAACATGCATGCCCAGTGGAGACCACCAGAGAGGTTTGTGCTCGGCGTTGAAACACTGTGGGAGGATCATGTGTATCTTGCTGACAGTAATAACTCCCACATCGTCATCCTCGACCCTGCTGATAGGGTGAAATCTGTCCCTGACCCACTGCCACTGAACGTGTCTGGGACTCCAGAGACACGGGTGGACACCTTATAGATCAGGATCTGTGGTGACTGACCTGGCTTCTGCAGGTAACAATTTAAATAGGTGTTTCCATTGCTGTGTACGAGGCTCTGACTGGCCCTGCAGGAGATGGAGGCCAACTCTCCGGGGGTTGACAGACAGGGTGAGTGGGGACTGTGTCAGCATGGCCTCCCCACTGGATCCTAAAATAATAAGAAATAAGTACAGGTTAATTAGAAATATTATGAGGGATTTTTATCATTTTAAGCTTTTATAGTATTATTCTTGATTTGATTCATACTCCAAAAATATCTAATATTCACAAATAACCCAACACTGGAGGGCATAGAGTGGCCTTTTTTTGTTTGTTTCTTTTTTTAGGATCTCACTAGATCACTGTTCTCAGTTTCTTTCAGTTTCTTATTAGGTCTAAAA